TGATTATGGCTTACAGCTCATGAAAACCCCAAATCCACAATCTCAGAAAATTAGACTATTGTGAAAAGGTTCAATATTCTAGGCTCAAAGTGTCCCACTCTAATCAGCTAATTAAGCCATAATACCTGCAAAGGGTTCCTGAGCCTTTAAATGGTCTCTCAGTCTGGTTCAGTAGGAATCACAATCATTGGAAAGACTGATGACCTGACAGTGTGCAGAAAACCATCACTGACACCTTCCATAAGGAGGGAAAGCCTCAAAAGGTAATTGCAAAAGAAGTTGGATGTTCCCAAAGTGCTGTATCAAAGCACATTAATAGAAAGTTATGTGGAAGGGAAAAGTGTGGAAGAAAAAGGTGCACAAGCAGTAGGGATGACCGCAGCCTGGAGAGGGTTGTAAGGAAAAGGCCATTCAAAAGTGTTGGGAACTTTCACAAGGAGTGGACTGAGGCTGGAGTCAGTGCATCAAGAACCACCACACACAGACGGATCCTGGACATGGGCTTCAAATGTCATATTCCTCTTGTCAAGCTGCTCCTGCACAACAAACAATGTCAGAAGCATCTTACTGGGCTAAAGAAAAACAGACCTGGTCTGTTGTTCAGTAGTCCAAAGTCCTCTTTTCTGATGAGAGCAACTTTTGCATCTTATTTGGAAACCAAGGACCCAGAGTCCGGAGGAAGAATGGAGAGGCACACACTGCAAGATGCTTGAAGTCCAGTGTGAAGTTTCCACAGTCTGTGTTGATTTGGGGAGCCATGTCATCTGCTGGGGTTGGTCCACTGTGCTTCATTAAGTCCAGGGTCAACGCAGCTGTCTACCAGGAGATTTTGAAGCATTTCATGCTTCCTTCCATAGATGAGCTTTATGGGGATGCTGACTTCATTTTACAGCAGGACTTGGCACCTGCCCACACTGCCAAAAGCACCAAAACCTGGTTCAATGACCATGGGATTACTGTGCTTGATTGGCCAGCAAACTCGCCTGATCTGAATCCCATAGAGAATCTATGGGGCATTGCCAAGAGAAAGATGAGAGACATGAGACCGAACAATGCAGAAGAGCTGAAGGCCGCTATTGAAGCATCCTGGTCTTCCATATCACCTCAGCGGTGCCACAGGCTGATAGCTTCCATGCCACGCCGTATTGAGGCAGTAATTGCTGCAAAAGGGGCCCAAACCAAGTACTGAGTACATATGCATGCTTATACTTTTCAGAGGTCCGATATTGTTCTATGTACAAACCTTGTTTTATTGATTGCATGTAATATTCTAATTTTCTGTGATTGTGGATTTGCGGTTTTCATGAGCTGTAAGCCATAATCATCACAATTATGACAAATAATGGCTTGAACTATCTTGCTTTGCATGTCATGAGTCTATCTCATATATTAGTTTCACCTTTTAAGTTGCATTACTGAAATAAATGAACTTTTGCACGATATTCTAATTTTTTGAGTTTCACCTGTACATTTAAGCCCAAAACACAGTTGCTGGGTTCACAAATCAGATTTAGCTGAAACAAGGAAATAAAATTATGACTTACCATGAGGTTTACATCTATTTAACTTACTACTGTTTTATGTTTGAATTCTGGTAGATGAGACCTTGTAGCTCCTCAAACTTTTCCTTGGGTTATGATTCTTCTTCAGTCTCGATTTTTAATTCGAGATATTTCATTTTTCTTTACCCAAGTTCATAAATTATTACAGTGGGGAGTGGAGGGAGAATATAATACATGGCATGGTTTGTGAGAATAACATAAGCAATTGTTTATTCTAGCATTTTGAGAAATTTGAGAAAATGATTGCTTATTTTGTCCAAAGATATATTTATTGAATCTGAAGTAATTGCTAAACTTCTAAGTAACACAGCGAAAGGCCTTCTGTTAAAAAGGGACTCAGACTTCCATGCACCATATAAAAACAAACCATTGATTATTTTAAACATAGTTTCTATTGAGTAATTTTAATTGGGTTGGCATAGTCTTTCTAGGCTTTCAAAATAAAGATTCTTGGGAAGAAAGCACTGCAAAGGCACTGATGCATTTCTCAAAGTGAGACTAATTTCTTCCCCATGATTGCTATATATTTAGACCTTTGTGTATTTTTTACCTGCATTCCTTTTCTTTTGGCTTGTTCTGAATTTGCAAGAAAATAGTTGCTTGGGTAATTGAGCATAATACTGCTCACAAATTTTCTGTTTTGTTCACTGTTCCTCTGTGTGCTTGCTTGCACAAACATCAGCCAATTATTTTCCATCAGACAAGGAATTCACAACTATTCTGGATAGTTATGTATTATTCCATATGCATACAGAATAGGTAAACTGTAGGCAGTCAGTACATCTATCTCTTGAAACCACAAATACTTCCCATAAATGTTAGAGGAATAAAAATTACTCATATGATTCATCTGCCTCTTTTTCACAATTGAAATATTGCTCATAACCATGTGCATATTTTATTACATAAAATGCATAACATGCATAACCTCCAGGCTTTCCCAAACTGGTGTATCCAGATGTGTGTAGAATTTTAATTCCTTGAATTCTTATGACCACTTTGTCTGGGAATTCTGAGAGTCCAGAGGGCACCTTGGACATGATTATACAAAAGGCTACTATTACATATTATCCCAGAGGGCAGGAAGAAAGATTCCAGTTGAATGTTAGGGAGGGAAAAACATCTTAACAGTAAGAGTAATTTGAAATTAGAATCAATTACCTAGAGAGGCGTCTTTCTTATTAAACATTCCTGATTTAATGGTAAGCAGAAGCTGAGTAAGTCACTGTTAGGGATGGTTTGATGTAGATTTTTTTGCACTGAGCAAGGGCTTGGACTTGAAAACCTGAGCAGTTCCCCAATTCCATGATTATAAGTATTGTAGTACACTGGCAAATTACACTGGCTACCAGTCTGCTTTTGAGTGCAGTTCAAGGTGCTGGTTGTGACCTTTAAGGTGCTGGTTGTGACTGCAGATCCTGTCAGTCAAAGAACTCTGACAGTCAGGATCCAGAAGAACCTTCTCTGCCGCAGCACCTGCCCTGTGGAACATCTTGCCTTCCAGGGTAAGATCTGCCTCGAACCTCCTATCTTCTGTAAGCTCCTAAAGGCTTGCCTCTACAAATTCGCCTGGCCATCCAATTGAGAGTTGTGGAGGTGGCTGCTAGATTGACAGCATACTCCATCTCCCTTCACCTCTCTGCTCCCCATGCATCTTTTTTTTACTAGTTATATCAATATATATTTTTTTGTTTTCTTCTCCTTTCTCTTTGTTTAATCTTTCTTTTTTATTTCCCCATATTTTATAGTTGTGAGGTGTCTAGAGATAGATAGCAAATAAATTTTAGATGATGATGATGATGATAATAATAATAATAATAATAATAATAATAATAATAATAATAATAAT